CAACGACAAGTAGCTGCAAAAGTTCTGCAACGTTTTTCGAATATTAAACAAACTTCAAGTTGCCAGCGCCAGCGCCGACAGTGACAGCGACAGAAGCAGCGGCAGAGGCAGAGGGAGCGACAGAGGCAGCAGCCTCATTATTTATTTGATTGCCCGCACAGCCAATGCTCAAATTACCGCCAGGGAGCGGGGCGTGCCACAGGCGAAGCACGAAAAAAAAGAGAATAAGAAATAATAGTCGCAGTCGGCAATGGGCAAAAATGTAATTAATAAGGCAAATTAATGCAAACAATAATACAAATTCATTTTCATGCACAAATGAAACTAAATTACAACAACGTGCGCCTCCAACAACAAACAAATACATTTCCCCCCAGTAAAACCGCTGACCACATTAGAAATAGACTTGATGTGGGATTTTGAATTAGTTTCACTTCTGTTCAAGTAAATCATTGATAAATAACACCTAATTATAGCAAAATAAAATAATAATTAGAAACACAAACCTTTCAATCATTAATGTGCGAACTTTGTAAAAATATTTTTGGAGCCTCAGGCGTGTGCCGTGCTTGGTTTAATGTCCGAGCCGTGAGCTTAAATAGACAATGTTAATAAATATATGTATGTTAGAATTGTAGTTTGCACATTTTTTTAAATTAATTTAAAAGTAATAACCATAATCGATATCATAATCGTAATTATAATCAAATTCATAAAAATTATAAAAAACTATAATAATAATTATAATAAAAAAAATAAAATAATAACAAGTAAGAGGTTCTAGTCGGGACCTTCCGACTAGGGGATACCCTGAACCCTCTTCTTCCAACATCAAATGCTGTATATATTCTATTTTAGAAGCTATATGTCAAGTTTGGTGTCTCTAGCTCTTATTATTTACCAAAATTGCCCCAAAAACAGTGTATCGATATCGCTTTTTATCGATTACTTGGAAACAGAGTAAGTTATCGATTATCGGAAACTAACTCGATCTGCGCGGGCACTAGGAGCACCTACATCTAAAATTTCATTTCCGTCCATCCGTCCGTCCGTATGTATGAACGCAAGGATCTCAGAACCTATAAGAGCTAGAGAAATTTTAGATGTAGATGCTCCTAGTGCCCGCGCAGATTGAGTTTGTTTCCGATAATCGATAGCTTACTCCGTTTCCAAGTAATCGATAAAAACCGATAGCGATATCCTGTTTTGGGGCAATTTCGGTAAATAATATGAGCTAGAGTCACCAAACTTGACATATAGCTTCTAAAATAGAATATACATATGCATTTGATGTTGGAAGAAGAGGGTTCAGGGTATCGTCTAGTCGGGAGCTCCCGACTAGAACCTCTTGTTTGGATTGGATTTTTGTGACCTTTAGCTTGTTGTATAGCATTTTAAATCAAGTGTGACCATAAACTGTTTCTATACCACTTTAGACAATGTGTCTATATCTTTCTTTTTTCAAATACTGAAAGAACAGTCTGGAAACATTTTGCTTATATTAGACTGCAATGAGGTAAGGATGAGGGTAAAAGAGATCTTTAAGGTAAAAATATGCAGGTTCCCAAGAAAAAGTTATAGTTTATTATAATTATAAGTTAGCCCGGGGTCATATTAATGTAATATATTCGAATATCAGATAAAACATTTAAATTCGAGCGTCAAGGAAAAACAATATAATTCTAGTAAACTATCTAAGGCACTTTGAGCACACGGTTTCAGTAATATTCTGGGAATTGTAATTATCCGTCAATGTAGCAATTTTTCCACCTTTCAATTGAATATATCAAATACTTTAACGTGTTGCCAACTAGTTGATCAAATGTGTTATGCCGGCCATCGGATTGGTGCATGATATATGTACACTAATAACCAAAGACCTGGCACACACGCGCACACACAATATATATACACACAAAAAAAGAAAGGAAAATAAAACAACAACACACAAACACATCGACAACTAAACAGTTCGCTGAGCAGAAAAACGAGGAAATCTACTTAATCACGTTTAATTAAGGTAAGTTTATAAGTAGCTGTGTGCACGTATGTGTGTGTGTGTCTGTGTAACTACTTTTTTTGCGAATTGCTTTTATTGCTTTTATGCAGAGCTAAACACACAAAAGAGCTCGCCAGGTAATCGCCGAGCCTGGGCCGTGGCTCAGGTTCGGGTTCAGGGCCCCACAATAAACCAAACAGCTTTCATGTGCACATAAATGCAAATTAGGGTTAAATGTTGATGTGTTGATGTGTTGACTGTGTGTGTGTGGGTGTGTGTGTGTGGGTGTGTGTGTATGGGCGTTTGTGTGTCGTGTGCACCACTGCGGATTATAATAATAAGCAAGTGCTTAACATAAATGGATTTATTGGCTGCACATTCATCAAGAGTCAAATGTTGGCACTCTGTTTCCATTAGACGCTTAGTTGGGCATTTCAGTGGATGCGCCCCGGCTCTCTATAATATTAGAATGCACTTGGTATGGGCGCTGTTGTTATTTCTGGTCAGCCACACGGATTGCTGCCCTCTCTCACTCCCGCTCCCTTCGATTGTAATTTCCATTTAGTCAGTTTTCTCATCTCTGGGAAGCAAATGATCCCAGGACGTTAGAACTGCTGGCTTCTTGCTATTTGGCTCGGCGGCATTTTCCTCCTCCCATGGGAGCAGATGATCCATGGCAGCGATTAGGGTTTGTCTCTTGCGATTCAGCTTTGCTTCCGCCTCCTTTTCCCAGGTGCTCCGCAACAGCAATTCACGCACCGCATTCAGCTCGATGCGATGAATATCTGTTAGATCCGTTTCTGGAAAGATCTTTATAAGATGCGTTTCCCTTGACATGGCTACGTTTCTCTACTGCATGTCAAATATAACTATAATATGAGTTGAATACACGAAATAATATTTTTAACTTACAGCTAACGCTTGCTAAATGTTGAAAAGGTTTGAAATAATTGCGCTTATATACATTGATTTTCAAAGCCTACTATTAAGCCTATTAAATTCACGTTTTTTGATAGCAAGTATTTGTAAGGCTATTTATATTGAATTTTTTGGATTTTTTTTTTACTTATTAGTTAAAATTAAATATTTTGTATTAAGATTATCCAAAATAAGCTCAAATACTATTGTTTTATTATTTTAAGACTATGTTTATAAACTTCTGTAGATACATAAGTTTTAATATAACACTGAAGTGCTACATGTATATGAAAATTTTTGTCGTTTTCAACACTCTTTGTTTCGATAACCTCACTTTTGCTGCACAACTTTTGTCGAAAGCTTTGAAATCAGCTTGATTGTGTTTCTTAAATATGGAAATCTCTATTTGGTTCTATCGACAAACAGCTTTTTCTCTGAAATCTTCAATCTTTCAATTACCTTTAAAGTTACTGGTTTTTCTTAACCATGTTCTGTATCGATAATTGGATTTATCGTTTTTTCTCTAAGCTCGTTAGGCCATCCCGCAGCTTAATTATGCTGCATTTTCGTCTACAATCTAACTACTTATCATCATTTAGTAATATTTTGCGCCAAGGTTTTCTTTTCGTTTTCTCATTTACTCGTTGCCATGCCTTTTTCTCTCTCTTTCTCTTTCTTTCCTATTCGCTGCTTATTAATTGTGTGTCGTTGTCGTAATTGTCACACATGCGCATTCTCTCATTATTGCGCCATACGAAATGAGCTTGGGAACTGAACTGAGAAACCTTCTCCCCACTTGATTAATTGAAAAGTCATGATGGTCCTCATCATTAGCAGAAGCTTCGTGACTTATGCCGTGCCACAGCTGCCCCAAACGCCGCATCGCATTTATGTAATCGATGCATGTCAAACAGCAATCACAGCAACTGAATGGCTTATGTGTGTGGGTGTGTGTGACACATGTGCTGGAAAAAACGAAACGAACAGCGCAACGAAACATTAAGAGAAGAGTAGCAAGGCAAAGGGAAAGAAGAAGCTATGCAATGTGGCAGCTAAAGCGGGCACAAAAAGCTATCTAGTTGTAAGCTCGTTGATTTCAATTTCTGAATGTGAAATGCAGGCACATTTGCATATTGCACATACGCCATGTGCCACAGGCCTCAGCACGTATTTGGCAAATGAAAACAACACGAAAAAATGCTTTCTAATTAAGCGCCAGCAAAAATTAGAAAACAAAAAACAGCTGACACATGCCTGTATGTTAGTATTGGTTTTTTTTGTGGCTTCTATTCTGTGCTCTTCTCAAACCTTTAACAATTTTAGAAATTTCTGGCTTTGAATGCGACGCTTTGCGTTTTATTGCATAAACAAAAATACGAGAGGTTTTTAGTTTTTCCGCTGGCTAAGAAGTACATAAATTTCAAATAAGTCACGTTTTCGGCTTTGTAGCAGTAACCCCACCCTACCCCACACACGCCGCCTACAAATTGTGCTTTGTTGTGGCGTCTGCGGGCAGCGAAACATAAAAAATTAGTATATAAAAATAGTCAAACCAAAGCCACGGACTATAGCGAACAAAATGCCAAAATGAGTGTTGAATAAAAGCTGCCCGAATAAAAAAAAACCAGAAAGAATGAACGCTTATGTAGCAGGGGTTGAAAGTTGCGGGGCTTGGGTTTGGGAGGTGGCCTGTCTGTATTCAGAAAGTTTTTGATTTCTAAAGTTGTACGGTTCAAGTTGTTTGGGGAACTGTGATATTTTCACCGTACCTTTTAAGCTGATTTGCAGATTATTATCAACAGCAGCAGCAGCAGCAGTGGTAGTGGCAACAACAATTCTTCGAGAGTCGTTAAAAATAATGTACTACATAAATACTCTTTCACTTGCCGCTTCTGGGGCCGAGAATGATCAGGCATATTTCAAGTGGTGCCAACTGTTGTTATTTCATTAACTTTCATTACTTTAAAAACATTGTAAAGATGCCAAATTATATACTATATTCATTATTTTTCCTCTTGACAGAAGAAAGGGGTCTTTTGAATGCCATACCATCTGTTTTTGTCATTAATTAAAATAATTTTGGCGAACCCAATTAAAAATAAAGGTAACAGAAACTCAACTAATTTTATGATAATATATATAGCAAAGCTCATCAGAAGCTTCATTTCATAATTATTTTTTTGTATAGACAAATATACTAAATCATGTTATGTACTATGGAAATATTTATCTTATCATTGCCTTATCGCAAACAAATTAAACTATTAAATGATAACCTTAATATATCACAATATATTTATATTTTCAACAACTTTCTTAGTCTGCATACTCTGTATACCCTAGATTCCAGAACCTACCTGCACACCTGGCCATTCACCTATCATGAGCCACAACAGCAGACAACTGACAGCTTATTTTTATTCACCGCATTTTTATTCCACCATTTCACAGAGTTTATTGTGCTGCCCACTCGTTGCCCCGGCATACACAAACACAAAAACACACACACACCAACACCCTTACAGTTTTTCGGATTTATTGTACGCACTTTATGTGCATATTTTTTTATGCATGCTCTGCAGTCGGGTATCATAATTTAGTCACGAAAATTGTGATGCGCCACTGAAACCATAAAATAAAGTAAATAGTATATATTTATTTTTATAAGATCTTACGGAGTGTCACGACCTTAAGTGATGCTGAAACTTGTTACAGCTGCTGATTTAGGGTTTATTTCGAGCAAGTTAAGCTAGTTTATCATCGGACAACTTTATTATGCTGTCACAAGCATATTTGGTTCATAAAGAACAGTCTATTGTTTTTTAAACTTCTCTCAACTAACTAACGGTTAGTTAATGAGCTTCAAACGACGTTTGTTTCGTGAGTTTACTTCTCTCTAATTCGACATAGCTGACTTTCCCAAGTCCTTTCACTTCGGTAAGGGCATTTAAACTTCGCCGAAGCCTGCAGCCAGTCCCGTCTTATTATACTAAAAATAAGTTCGTTGTATAGCATTTGCTGTTCGCCATTTGCTTTGCATTTTTACGACTCGAATTTGTCGTCTGTTGCTGTTTGCTTCGCCTGAAGTTTAATTGAATAAGTTGTAAGCGGATTTTACTGCAAGCCACGCGCCAGGCAGCTGTTGCCGCTGTGCGACACGGCGTATGTGCAATTTTTAATTGAAATTCGCAAACAGCGGGCAGAATGCAGCGTCTAGCGTGATTTTTGAATGGCAAATGACAACAACACGCATATGAACAACAACAGGGAGGTGTTGCAAATTTGATTGCATCCCTAAGCGAGATTTGCATTTATAATGCGCATTCATAAAAACATCATGAGCCGAGCACGGCAAGCTGAGCATAATTGGCGGTCAGCTATTGGATTAGCGCAAGGTTCACATAAATATTTTAATTTCATTAACAATTTGGTATTCTGGTATGATATGAACAAAATGGGGACATGTCCTCCAATTAGATTTTATAAATTCTGGTACGTTTCCAAATTGCAAACGAATTAATTTAATAATTTTTTTTTGGAATTTTCAAAAATTTTTTTCATTAATGAAAACTTAGTTTTTAAATCGAAAAGGTTTCTGAATATCTAATTAAAGCTTTTTCAGAATAATTTAAGAACTCTGTGTTATGTTAAGCACCTTTTTGTTGTCCACTTCTTTGTTGCCCTGTTCCCTGGCGTGACCATTTCCTGTCCACTGGCCCTGTCAGAGTGGAGCGTCAAGTAGATCGTGATAACTGTCCAATGTGCGCAACGCCAATTGCAATGATGTGCACAGGAAGGCGGTCATTTCCTTATCCTGCTGGCTGCTGGCAAAACTTGGGTGACTTTCCCGTTCTTTTTATACCTTTCTTTTTTTTGTAATATTAACAAGAGGTTCTAGTCGGGAGCTCCCGACTAGGGGATACCCTGAACCCTCTTCTTCCAACATCAAATGCATATATATTCTATTTTAAAAGCTATATGTCAAGTTTAGCGACTCTAGCTGTTATTATTTAAAAAAATTGCCAAAAAAAGGATATCGATATCGATTTTTATCGATTGCTTGGAAACGGAGTAGGTTATCGATTATCGGAAACAAACTCGATCTGCGTGGAAACTAGGAGCATCTACATCTAAAAATTCAAGTCTCTCGCTCTTATAGGTTCTGAGATCCTTGCGGACGGACGGACAGACAGACGGACATGGCTAGATCAACTCGGCTATTGGTGCTGATCAAGAATATATATACTTTATGGGGTCGGAGATGCTTCCTTCTGCCTATTACATACATTTGGATTTTGCACAAATACAGTATACCCTTATACCCATTTTTAATGGGTTCATGGTATAAAAATCAAGCATTTGCCTTTGTGCGTTGCCTACCTTTGGACGTTGCACGTGCTGCAGCTGCAGCTGGCATACTCAAGCACTTACACACACCCACACAGTGGCACGCACGTCGAAATGTAATTTCATGGCACACAAGTTTTTAATTAAATCTCATGGCAGGCGATGCAGCCGAAGCAGCAGCTGAAGCAAAGGCAGCGGCAGCCTTTTAACATGCAATCAACAAACCACTCTGGCGTGCATATAGGGCAGCTATACAAGTGCATATGTATGGCTATAAGTTTATGTATATATATCTATATATATATATATATATATATATATACACATACAAATGGCACACAAAACTGCAGTCTTAATGCGTTTTTCAAGTGGCAGCCAAGCAGTAGCAATAGCAGCAGCAGCGGAAACAGCTGGCGAGGCGGCCATTTTGCAGGCAGGCAACGATCCACATCCGCAACCGGACAAACCATTGGGATTCAACTGAAGCTAGCCTGCCCACGCACAGCTGCTCGAGACCCCCCCCCCCCCCCCCCCCCACGCTCTTTGGCATACTCCAGCGGCAATCATCGTCACATAATTTTATTAAGCTCTTAGCCAGACAGCGGCCATAAACCGGGCAGGCCTGGAGTTCCTGATGCTCCTACTGCTTCCGCTCCCACTCCCTCCCCCACTACTCCTGCTTCTCTTAATACCCTGAACCCATTAAAAATGGGTATAAGGGTATATTGTATTTGTGCAAAATCCAAATGTATGTAACAGGCAGAAGGAAGCATCTCCGACCACATAAAGTATATATATTCTTGATCAGCATCAATAGCCGAGTCGATCTAGCTATGTCCGTCTGTCTGTCCGTCCGTCCGTATGTATGAACGCAAAGATCTCAGAACCTATAAGAGCAAGAGACTTGAATTTTTAGATGTAGATGCTCCTAGTCCCCGCGCAGATCGAGTTTGTTTCCGATAAACGATAACTTACTCCGTTTCCAAGCAATCGATACAAACCGATATCGATATACTGTTTTTTAGCAATTTTGGTAAATAATAAGAGCTAGAGTCACCAAACTTGACATATAGCTTCTAAAATAGAATATATATATGCATTTGATGTTGGAAGATGAGGTTTCAGGGTATTGCCTAGTCGGGAGCTCCCGACTAGAACCTCTTACTTGTTTCTGTTTGCGGATCGTTGACTGCTGCAACATGTTATTGCTGTAATTGTTGCTTAACAGCGTACAAGTGGAGCCAAGCACTTGTGACATGTTCTTAAAGTTCATATATGGATATATGTTTTTATTTAATGGTCAAGCCATGAGTTGCCTGTGATATTAAACAAAATGGAGATTATACAGGAAAATCAATTATGGAATAAAATAAATATTTCATACTATAACTTCGTTTTTGATCGACTATTCCCATGGCAGAATTTTGATTAGAATTCTTTAATGAAAATAATTTGCTTTGTATTTATATTATTATAAAGAAAAGAAGAATTCCTATTTTCTTAGGGATTACTTTTTCTAATTGGCTTAAAATATGGCCTTAGATAATAATAAAGGAACTATCAAATCTATAAAGCCAGCATTTTAAAAAATGTAAGCTAATGCTAAGAAAAGAAAAATTCCTATTTTCTTGGGGATTACTTTTTCTAATTGGCTTAAAATATGGTCTTAGATTATATTAAAAGAACTATCAAAACTATAAAGCCAGCATTTTAAAAAATGTAAACAAATATAAAGTAAACAAGTAAGAGGTTCTAGTCGGAAGCTCCCGACTAGGGGATATCCTGAACCCTCTTCTTCCAACATCAAATGCATATATATATTCTATTTTAGAAGCTATATGTCAAGTTTGGTGACTCTAGCTCTTATTATTTACCAAAATTGCCCAAAAAACTGGATATCGATATCGATTTTTATAGATTGCTTGGAAACGGAGTAACAAACTCGATCTGCGCGGGGACTAGGAGCATCTACATCTAAAAATTCAAGTCTCTAGCTCTTATAGGTTCTGAGATCTTTGCGTTCATACATACGGACGGACGGATGGACGGACGGACGGACAGACAGACAGTCGGACATGGCTAGATCGACTCGGCTATTGATGCTGATCAAGAATATATATACTTTATGGGGTCGGAGAAGCTTCCGTCTGCCTGTTACATACATTTGGATTTTGCACAAATACATTATACCCTTATACCCATTTTTAATGGGTTCAGGGTATAATTAATTATCGAAAAATATAATAATAATGAACTCTCTTTAAAATATTTCTTTATGCCCAAAATAGTCTTTATGCCCCGATAGTTAAACTTTCCGCCGTCATTCAATTTTTATAGAGTATTTGCGCTGCAGGACATTTAAAAGAAAATAATATTCTCTCGTTTTAATTAAGCACTTGGATGATTGGCAGTTGATTTGCAGCTTTCAAGCTTACTGTCGCTCAACTAAATTGCATTTAAGGCGGCTGCCTAGATCAGAATCAAGGTCGTGAGGTGTAGGGGGGATGGTGGCGAGGGGCCAAGCTCGTCGCTTGCATCTCTGATATTTATTTCACTAGCCGTGTCTGTCGCCTATATTTACTGGCAAATCAAACAATAAATGCTTGTCAAGCTGCCTGCCAAAGACACTTTGACTTTGTTTATGGTAAACAGACAACAAGCGATATGGCTTTCGGGCGTGTCTTGGGCGTGGGCGTGGACGTGCCACACACAAAAACACCCACTCGCACACGAATGAGTGTGCTTTAGCTAATGCAA